CGGGATATCACTCATTTATCTTCAAGTGCCCATACTTTAAAAAAAATCCAATGGCAATTATATTCAGAAAAACAAGAGAACAATGAAACATTTTCTAAACTCAGTGCACATAATGGTTAATGTGATCAAATTTCAGCCATTTTTGTGAATTTTGTGACTGGCATATTTAATATTGTGGCCCATTAATTGCTCATTACAGTGTTTGCCACACAAATTACTACAACTTGCTCTCCACTGTAGACACTTCAGTTCCTTCAGACATTCTTGACTGACATTTAAGTCCATTAGTTTAAATGCTACAGAGTCCTTTTTAGGTCTGAGTGCCTGCCTAAACACTGTATATTATTGTAGATATGGGCTAGTATGTAACTGTACTAGTATGTAATGATTAAACAAACAGATGAAATCACTGGATTTTAAAAATCAATCATATTTAATATTTTGTAACGCTAAACTAGTAATAGAATCAGAAGTCCTCTCTAGCAGTCAAACATCTTTGGCTACATTCACAGAATGTGAAAAAGAGCAAATTATTTCCTTAGCACATGAATAATGTGTATTATTAAATTACCCCAACACACCAGATGCACACAAACGTGAGTAAATGCTTACACTCACACAGCAATAATAACAGCAGAACGCAGACGCACTGAAGCTTTACTGCGGCTCTAATTAAACAGCCTGAGGAAAGTACTGATCAAATAACAAAAACTTAAATCCAATTATTGCACTGTGTGCGCATGTGTGTGTCTATAAGGGATTACTGAACATTTCTCCAACCCACAAAGAAAGAGCATTAATTAAGATAGATAAATTACATTTGCAGGTACACCATTATAAGAGCTAACCGACTGTCTTCAGAAAAGTTTCGATGACATTTTAATTTTATCTGATAAAGTAGTGTTCATGAGGGGAGCTGCTTTGATTACAGCCGTTACCGGAGAAACCTTAAGTTCTACCGCTCTCAATGCACCTCCTGCTGGCAGATTTATTTGTGCTGTTTTTTTTCTCTAAAGTATTATATGGTTTTATATGAGGTGTCATAGACTTGGCAAATTCATTTTTCATAAGTTTGTATGCACAGACATCTGTTGTGGGCGTTCTTGGCAGTTTTTACAAGGCTTTTTTAAATAGTGTTCATATCGATATCGGAATTATATCGTATCGACAGAAATTAAGAAATATATCGTGATATAAATTTTGGCCATATCGTCCAGCCCTAATAAGAGCATGCGGTTTCAAACTAAATATGCATCTTGCATCAGATATATTGTATTAATACCACTTGGTTCATCATATAGAATGTCCAAAATAAGGTCAATGGTCTTCTCATATGCATTAAAAGAAGGATGATTACCATTTTAAATCAAGTGGATGCACAATAATGTGCAAACTGTATGACGAAAAGCGAAACTATTGTGCACTGCACAGTATTAAAACATAATGAACGGTCAAAAGTGTAATTCTAACTAATCTTCAAGAAAATCTGATGATTCTCAATACAGTTTTGATACCACAGTAAAACGTAATATACTAAAATATTTACAATAAGGTTCAATTATTTAACATTAGTTCATGCATTAGATAACACAAGTACCAAGCAAATACAATGATCTATATTACTACAGAATTTATTATTTTTTGTTTATGTTAATTTCTGAAAATTCACGTTGTATAAATAAACACTATTTGATGTATCACGAACAAACAATATTATATTTATGAATTAACATTAACCTAGATTAATTAAAAGAAAATAATTAAATAACTGAACCTTTTTGCAAAACATTACCTTTATGTTTGCTCACCAATGGATCCTCTGCAGTGAATGCGTGCCGTCAGAATGAACAGCTGATCAAAACATCACAGTAATCCTTCTATAATTCTTTTTAAGCAGGAAGCTCCACAGATCAAGCTCCATTTACAAATGACAACAACCCAAAACAGTTTTAAATGAATATGTTGGTGGTGGATTTAGGTGTGAGAGGACAACACTTCGATTGGAGAGTTATTGTGTGACGTGACGTGTGGCCAAGTATGGTTACCCATACTAGATCCCTGCCGGTACGAGACTCAAACTCGCAACCTTTTGGGTTACGAGTCCGACTCTCTAACCATTAGGCCACGACTTCCCCACGTGGATTACGGACTGGTATTTTGGGCAGAAGCAACAACTTAAAGCTAAAATAATGGATTAGTTTCTTACAAACATGCAAGACATTAATTGATGGACTGGAATCATGTGGATTATTTGTAGGTTGCTGTGATGCTTGTATCAGCTGTTTGAACTCTTATTCTGATGGCACCCATTCACTGCAAAGGATCCACTGGTAAGCAAGTGCTGTAATGCTAACTGTCTCCAAATCGGTCCTGCTGAAGAAAAAAAAAAAAAAAACTTTCAGCCACTTTTCATTTTTGGGTGAACTATTCTTTTAACTAAGTAAAGAAAAAAAAAAATGCAGTGTAGAATTTTGAAGTAAACATTGCTTCAAGATTTAAGAAATCACTGAAGCAAACAGTCAGTAATATAAAATAAAAATAAAAAGCCATTTATATATGTAACAATAAACAAAAGTGCACTATGAAGTAAAGAACGTGCACAAGGGTGAATTTCAAGGCATTATGAAAACATTCATTTGATTTACTCTCATATACTATGCAATCTGTCTGCAAGTTCAAAGTGTTACCTGAACTTGGCTTATCTATAAAAATAAATAAAAACTCTCCAATCTTACTTAATCAACTAAGAGTATACAGTGAAGTCACATCTCAGGGGCTGACACCAAGCGGCAACCTCCCGCTCTCTCTCATGAAGCCAACAAGGAAGTGACTTAAACTGTAATTCATCAACTGGCCGCTAGAGGCTGGCTGCAAAAGGGAGTCAATCCCATAGACTCCCCATGTTAAAATGCCCAACTTTACAGCAGAAAAAAACGTTTACAGCCTGGTTCAAAAAATGATTTTGGTCTATATAGCTAATTTTGCACTTCATGACAACTGTGAGGGGGGTGAATTTTTTTATAACTCATCCGTTTCAATTACAGTATATTAAGCCTTAAAGTTCTGCATAATTAAGGGCATGGCCACTTGAGTGACAGGTGGATTGCCGCTGCTGTCACCACCG